AGGGAAGGCCACGCCGCAAATCCTGTCTCCTCCATTCTCCTGTGATCTTGGGTGCACAAGAGCCCGATGTAATTTTTTTTTGGGGGGGGGGGCGGAGAGGTGTTTTTTTACTATAGGGCGCGTGAGCTCGCCAGACAGAGACAGCGAGAAGTCACCCCCCAGGGTGGATGGCCACGCCACAATTCCTTCATTCTCCTCTCTCGATCTTGGGCGCACACGCGCCCGGCGTGAGTTTAAGCCGCCGGGTCTGGGACGCGAACCGCGGTGGACTACATGGGAGTCCAGCGACACAGTCATTACGCTAACTGCTGGTTCCCCGGTGTGATTTTCAAGCCACTGGTCCCGGACTTGTACCCTGGTCGGCGTGGGAGTCCAGCGAGGTAACCACTATGCCCTCTGCTGGCCTCTATTTTCCTCTTCGGTACCTGTCCTCCCCCACTCCTCCCAGAACCAATCCCAAACTCTCATCCTCTTTCCCGATCCCTTTCCAATGCCAATTCCACATTGAAGCATTCGCGACCACCGCCAGCCATGTCTCTTTCTCTTCTTCCAACGACTCCCGATGGCTTCGGGTTGCCACTCTTTGATGTACCACCTCAGAGACCTTTCATTGATCTCAGGCAGGCGGCCGCCCAGCCCCGCCTCCGGGACCAGGACACGGCCTCGCCGCAGCGGTGGCCGGAAACACGCTGCTCAGCCCAGAAACTGGGGATCCTCTCGGAGCGCTCCCGGAGTCCGACGCCTCTGTCCGCCAGGCCGACTTCAAGCACCGTACGGAGTCTCTCCGCGCAGACTTTCAGCCACAGCGCCAAGATTACGGTCTCTGACGCAGACCACGGGCTGTGGACCCTCCATATCCCTGACACCTAGCAACCGCCGGCTTCCTCCGCCGCCCGGCCGTCTTGGAGATCCTCTTCCGGGGCAGAGGTCGCCCCGCCCCGCCCCTCGTCTCCTCCAAGATGGCGAGCGGCGGCAGCGGGGGGGGTTCGGCGCCTGAGCTG